AGCTCCCGATGGGGCCGGGTCCCGCCTCAATCCGACCCCTCGAGAACGAGGCTTCAGGCCCACCTTGCGGGGCCAGCCGGGAGGAAGGGGGCATCCCGTGTGAGCGCAGACGGTGGTGGGGCGGCTTCCTGGCTCCGGCAGAGGCGACCGGGTTCCGGAGCTGGTGGCGGCAACAGCAGCCTGTCTGTGCAGAGGCAGCAGCCCCTGTGGCAGCCCAGCCCTGCAGGATCGATTCCAGAAGCTGCTTCCCGGATACCACGTCCGGAAGCGTCTCCTCAGCCTGCCCGGTGACTCCGTGAAGCCGTCCCGATCACACACGTCCCTTGGGGTTAAATGGGCGAGAACAAATGCTGCTCATTGTCCGTAGTGGGAAGGGTCGACCGATACGTCCACCTATGGCCTGTTCGCTCTTTAAACAGTCTTTAAACAGAAACGTTCTCTGAAGAGCATAGTCTGTGAACTGATGCCAGTCCCGGGCTGCTTGTTACTGGTTTAAGAGATGACAAGACCTAGAGCAACCGGGAACTTTTACGGTGATCCAGCACTGCTACGACATCAAAGCCCATCACCATTTTTCCAGTACTTAATTTTTATGTATTTTACAAAAGTTCTGGTCCACAACAGATTAGGAGAAAAAATGAACACACTAAAAACTGGTCTTCCACTATAGATAGTTTTAGAAACACTGGTCTGTACCCCAATCAAAAGATGCTTCTCCCTCCCTTAAAACCCACTAATGCTTCCCATTGAACATAGAATAACCTGAATTCTTACTCTGGCCCTACCCACCCCACTGGCCCCTACCTACCTCGCCGCCTCTAACGCTCTTCCTTGTGCTCCAGCCACACCAGCCTCTTAACATCACAATGGCCTCAGGTTCTTTGCAGTAGCTGTCTCTGTCTAAAATACTCCATCCCCATCACTCTGTGATATGACATGTTTTGTTCACTCAGAACACTTATCCCTGTCTTGAACTCCTTCTTTCTTTCTTTTTTTTTTAAAGATTTCATTTATTTATTTCACAGACAGAGATCACAAGTAGGCAGAGAGGCAGGCAGAGAGAGAGAGGGAAGCAGGCTATCCGCAAAGCAGAGAGCCCAATGCGGGGCTTGATCCCAGGACTCTGGGATCATGACCTGAGCCGAAGGCAGAGGCTTTAACCCACTGAGCCACCCAGGCGCCCCTCTTGAACTCCTTCTTGATCATTTCTGTACTTATTCGGCATCTCTCTCTTCCTCAGAGTGTGGGCCCACATGGGTGAGACCATGTCTATCCCCCATATGCCCACTTCCAGAGCAGCGCCTGGCACGTGGCATGAATGAGACCTCCTCTCCTGCCGCTCTTGCCTACACCAGCCGCTCTTCCAGGCGAAGCCCAGTCATCTCCGCCTCCTCTGACACCTACTGGACAAAGAGAAAATTACCCCAAGCAATTCATTTTCTCTAATGACGGTGACTTTCATACGGTTCCTTCTCTTCAACAGACTCTACACCCTCCATGAAAAAACGCATCTTCTACTCTTCTCCTCTACCTTCACCAGACCTTGGCCATCACTGCGCATCAAGCAGACATCCCAGTAACCTCTGTGACCATCCTTGTGCCATGAGCCGGCTCTTCGAAATCTGACAGGGCTGCCGTGAGAGCAGTCATTCAAGAGAAACGAACCGTCATTCTCGTAGGAAACGCTTTAGTGATGGATTCAGGTCTCAGTAAGTCGGTGTCTTTGTCAGCAAGGACAGATAACCAGCAGGTGCACGTCCACTGGAGGGCGCTGAGCGGGGGGCCAGCAGCAGGGACCCAGGATAGTGGTGGAGCGGGATGGTTAGTGTTTCAGTCAAACCGGAGTATAAGTTCTGACTCTACTATTTATTAATAACTTAACCTTTGGTTCTCACTTAATCCCTGAAGCCTCGATTTCCTCATCCACAAAACAGAGGCGACGATGAGGGTAATGATGAAGATGGTGGTGATGCCAGGCTCCTCGGGCTGTCAAGAGGCTGCACGCGTAATGGTTAAGAACACCCGGGGCGCCTGGGTGGCTCCGTTGGTTGAGCAACTGCCTTCAGCTCAGGTCATGATCCCGGAATCCAGGCATCGAGTCCCGCATCGGGCTTCCAGCTCCACGGGGAGTCTGCTTCTCCCTCTGACCTTCTCTCCTCTCATGCTCTCTCTCACTGTCTCTCTCTCAAATAAATAAATAAAATTTAAAAAAAAAAAAAAACACCCCCGCTGGAAGAGGCTGTCCAAGTCCAAACCCCATGTCCACCACTTACTAAGTATATAACCTTGGACAAATTACTTATCTCTCTGCTTCTGTTTCTCCATCTTTAAAATGGGGATAGTAACAGCGTCTATCTGAATGGCTGTCATGAAGGTAAAATGAGTTAATTCCTACAAAGGGCTAAGAAGAGCGCTTGCCCGGTGGTCAGCCTTGAGGAACTGTTGGCTGTTACAGTGATCACTGTATTGCATCAATGCTCAGGCAGGTTTTTTCCCCTCACATTTTAACATCTCTGAAATCCTGAGGAAATACTGCCATATTTAGTATCTTACGGTGACCACATGCCAGTTTCCCCATCTTTCCGCATCTCTAAAACTAGGATACCCCTGAGCATCTTAGACCCTGTGCACTGAGCACAGCCCTGGCCTATGGAAGACACTCAACATTTACGTGATGAGTCAATGTCTGTTGATCTAAAATATAACATTCCTTTTTTTTTTTTTTTTTTAAAGTAGGCTGCATACCCAGCATGGAGCCCAACAAGGGGCTCAAACTCACGACCCTGAGCTGAGATCAAGATCAAATGCTCAACCGACTGAGCCACCCAGGCACCCTGGAACATTCCACTTCCTACAATCTCTCTCTGTAGACAAATACAGTAAGAAATGGATTCAATTCTTCCATTGTATAATTCTTCTACTACTGGGAACAGAAGACATTTCTTTCTAAACCAAGATTTCTCAAATGTCTAACTACATAGAAACTTGCTAGGAATGATCCCCTCCCCTTGAATTTTGAAATTTCACACTCTCAGAAGCAATAATCAGAACTCTAACATAAGGCACATCTCACACCAAAAGGCCCGGTACTAAATACAGGAAGTGATTATGTAGGTTCATTAAGAAGCAAAATGTTGGTTCATTGGTAAGAAAAAAAATTATCAATGAAATATTAAGGTATGGTGGTTGTTTCTCTTGATTGTATTAGGGGCTCTGTCCTGATGGACAGACGTACAGACAGGATCAAAGAGCACAATCTGTGTCAGACAGAATATATGAGAAAATGTAAGCACAGAACCCCTCATTTATCCAGACTGTTTGAAACAGATGCTTAAAATGTGAAAATTTCAGATCAATAAGGTCTACTCCTTGAACTTCATGTGAAACTCTTCTCTATAGCCATCACTTTAAGTGTGGATCTTTTCAAAACATTTTCTTTTTTGGGGCGCCTGGGTGGCTCAGTCATTAAGCATCTGCCTCTGGCGTAGGTCGTGATCCCAGGTTCCCGGGATCGAGCCCCACATCAGGCTCTCCACTCAGCGGGAAGCCTGTTTCCCCCCTCCCGCTTCCTCTGCTTGTGTTATCTCTCTGTCTCTTTCTCTGTCAAATAAATAAAGTCTTAAAAAAAAAACCAAACCATTTTCTTTCTTCACTTTCCTACTTCCTCCATCATGCTACTGACGTGGCTTGCTGACCACCACCGACCACGAGCTTGGGCACTCTCTAGCCCATCCCGGGGCCGCCTGCCCAGAATGCTCTTGCTTGTGCTGCTGCTGTTGCTGGCGTCCTCACGTTTCGTATTTTCGGTTTCCTCGCCCACTGTAGGACTGTCACCTGTCACATTCTGTTATTGCTGATGGGCCACATTCTAGAAGCTCATTCTAACCAATGGCTCTATTCTTAATAGGTTTTAAACCAAGCAACCTGATAACTAACTTTGTTAGAATTGGACTTAAAACACAGTTAAACAGATCCCTGAATGATGGGCTTACCTGTGAATAAAATGCACAAGGTCTGTCACATAAATAGCATTTAGCCCCAGATACATGGCCAACTCCTATTTTTTTCAAAAAGATCCTAAAGTTTTTAGATCCAAAAGTTTTTCATCAATGTCTACAGATGTATAAAAACTTGCCTGTCTATGCTATTTATTTTATTAGTAATTTACTAAAGCACACATTTCCAATCACATATAAAATATACTAGTTTGATAATAACGCTTTTTTCCACTTTCCCACGTGGTAACCATTTCATCTGAGCTCTTCGTGTGCAACTAGTCCCTCACAGAGCACGGAGCAGCTGATTTGTTTCCATGTGTCCAAGAAGCACGAGGCAATGTGTACAAGACCACGCGTCCGGGGCGTTTCCCAGGGGCGTCTCCGAGGCTTATGTGTCCCGACACCTGACACACCTGTGCCACCGCTCCCCCGGGGAGACTTGCTACACGGGCCGACCATCCGTCTTCTTCTATCCAGTTTCCTCCAGTGACCTCTCGAAGCCTCCAGGACCAGCCCCAACTGAGGCCGGCTCAGGCGCACGTGGTCTCCTCAACGGTGCTTTAGTTCAGAAGAAGGTGAGGCGCGAGCACCCTGGGGTGCAGGAGGGACTGTGCGAGGATGCAAAGAGAAGGGGTCGTGTCTCTCGTCGGGGGGATTACGCTGGGGGGAGCCCTGCCTTGCTCTGAGCCGAAGAACGGAGCGCTGACCACGGCAGAGCCAGCAGAGCGGCCCCGGAGGGACCTGAGGCAAGGAAGGCCTGAGCGGTCTCTGCTGCCCCGGGAGCCACCCTCAGCCAGCTCCCAGCCAGCCTGAAGGCACAGTGTGCCAGGTAGACAAAAAGGCCCAAAAAATACCTCCCAAGCGCGAAGTGGCTCAGTACCGTGCATTTATAGGAACGCCCGTCCTCTGGTGACTAGCGATTTTGAGGACGAAAACAAAGCATATGGGAACTACAAGCTTTAAAAGGAGATCTTAGATTAGCTCACAAATTATTCTACGTACCTCGTATTAGCTCATAAATATTCATGTCCATAAGTTCACATATGAGCGCAAGAGAGCCAGATTTTCTGTCACTGAGGAAGAAAGCAGGTTTGTAAGAATGTTTTATCTTAATCAGAAAACAATCAAGTACTTAACTCATTGGCAAACATCTCCGGTAGACATAAAGCTCTCCCGGAGCAAAGGCTGAAGCGTCCTGACTGAAGCAGGCGCTGTGATTTTCAGTCAGTACTTCAGGTGAAATTAACTTAAAATAAGAGTAAAACCTTCACTTGGAGCAAAAATTCTAAACACTTGCCCCCTTTGTAATGAGTTGTGTCTTAAAAATATAAAATTAACTACCAGCAGACAGGAGAAAGGAGGCTGAAGAGTTGGCTGAGCAAAACAGGAAAAAGAATTTAATTTATCTCCGTGACTGCAAATTTAGCTTTAATTTACCTAAACTCCTTCCATGTAATTGGGATAAATTATAATGGGGGAACAAAATCCACAAAGCGGTCAGGGGAAAAGGGAGAAAGATGGGTCACAGCAGACCTGTGGGGTGTCTAGGCCTTGCCCGGGCTGGGGACAGAGGCCTCTGGCCCCGTGGGTGAGCCCCGGGCGGAGAACATGTCACCGCAGCCCCTGCTCAGGGCACATCCAGTGGGGTGGTGTGTCAGGAGGCCCACGCGAGGTCCCAGGCGCAAGTGCCTGTGAAGCACGGGACACACGGGCAGCGTGGTGACAGCCACACTGGCTACTCCAAGCACTGCAGGCCAAGAGGCCACACAGCTGTGACAAGATATTTCACCCGGAGTCCTCTGATTAAAGCCTGCCGCACTTGAACTGTCAGAGACCTGGATGGTTTTAAAGCAGCGGGGAGAGCCACCGAGGGGCTTCACCCGGCGTGCACCCCCTCAGGACCTACGAAAGGCTGGTCCCGGTACCCTGGGCCTGAGCTCCTGCAGAAGTGCCAGCATCTGGGGGCGAGCTGTGCTCTGCCTTCTCGACGGGCAGCTTAGCCTTAGGGAAGCTGTTCTAGAATTAGAACAGAAAAGTCCTCTGGATTACATCAGCTGCAGGAAGGCAGCAGCTCTCACTGCCTGAGACGGTGCACACGTGGCAGCGGATGGGGAGAAAGCGAATGCAGCCCCAGGCACGCGACATCGGGGCTCTCCCACGAGGCCACCATCCACCCTTGAGGCCTGTCCACCCAGGCCGCTGTCTACGGAGAGGCCGCCCCGAGCTGCGGGAGAGGAGCCGTCCGAATGCTGCCTGGTCTCGTGACACGGAGTCACCCAGATGAAGGCACAGCAGCAAGAGGGATCAGACACACGTTTGTCCCAGGGAATAAATATGGGACTTAAAGTGAAATGAAAATGGTTACTCCCTGAGCCACAGAGCAAATATTTTAAACATCTATACGGTTTTTCTTAAAAAGCGATGTAATCGTTGTTATCAAATTGAGATGATTGGTAAAGCCCCCAATATACTTACAAAACCACTTCGTGCAACGTAAGAATGTTTGGGTGCGGATTCAGGCGCCTCAGAGCTTGTATCTCCCGCAGGTTGTTCACGTGCTCAATACTATTGTGCAGGGAAAAGAAGTAACTCGCTTTTAATTTAGGTCAGCTTTCACTAGGGTTATTCAGTCATTATCTGTTACCCGCGATCACAACCGAAAACCTCATGAACATTTCAAGCAAGTTAATCGGCTTCCATTTCTCCTGTCAGCAGCTCAAGTTCAGCACGTCTTGTTCTGGTTATTATCTGATTAAAAACCAAGCGTCTTATAGCTTTGGACATACATTCAGATCTTCCCCACCTAAGCTCCTGAAAGAATACCTTGGTAGTTTATGATTAATAAACATACATTGGACGCCTGGGTGGCTCAGTCAGTGAAGCGTTTGCCTTCGGCTCAGGTCCTGATCCCAGGGTCTCCGGATCGAGCCCCACATCGGGCTCACTGCTCAGTGGGGAGCCTGCTTCCCCCTCTCTCTGCCTGCCTCTCTGCCTACTTGTGATCTCTCTCTGTCAAATAAATAAATCAAATCTTAAAAAAAAAAAGAAAACTAGCTATCATACCCCAAAACAGACTCTGCTTATTGTGACATAATTCTTTTCTGCCTCTATAGACACTTCTCTCAGAAATAATGAACTAATAGATTTGGAAAGGCAATTTCCTCTGAGCATCACTAGCCTTTGTTCAAATAAAAAGATTTTTATTTTCAGAAAATATAAATCAACTCTGTTCTCTTTTAAAAATCATGAAAAAAAATCTAAAAGACTGGAGTTAACTATTTGTTTTTTAAAGATTTCATTTATTTATTTGACAGAGATAGAAAGCACCCAAGCAGGGTGGGTAGCAGGAAGAGAGAGGGAAGGGGAGAAGCAGACCTCCCACCGAGCAGGGAGCCCGATGCGGGGCTCGATCCCAGGACCCTGGGACCATGACCCAAGCCAAAGGCAGACGCCAAACGACTGAGCCACCCAGGAGTCCCTGGAGTTAACTATTTTTCTCTGCCTTGGAGTTGCTTTGAATCTTGCAGTCAGGTGACATTCAGGGTTTTTTTTTTGGTTTGTTTTCACTGTCCTACTGGACACAGAAACAATCATGGGATTGAACACAGAGGAGTACAGGCAGCCTCTGTTCCAAAAAGAACCAATGATATCTGCCATAAATGGATTTTTTTTTTTCTGCAACTGGAAAAAATTCTAATTACCAGGTCAAAGTCTAAAAAATAAAAAAGTATTAATCATGCAATTTCAACATTTCATTTTATTGGAGTTTTTTTTTTATTTATTTTAGAGAGAAAGAGAGAGAGTCTACATGAGGGGTGGAGACGTGAGGGAGAGGAGGAGCAGAATCCCCCCTGAGCAGAGGATCTGATACCATGGGGCTCGATCTCTGGACCCAGAGCATGATCTGAGCCAAAACCAAGAGTGGGACGCTTAACAGACTGAGCCATCCAGGCGCCCCGGTTTATCTAACCAATCCAATGTGTAAGAAGAAAGTCCTTAAGCTGAAGGGGAAGAAGAAGCAGTTATATTAATATTAGACCAAACAGATTTCAAAATAAAGGTTATTACTAGCTATAACAACTTCATGATGATGGGGCAGGACACCAAAAAGACAGGACGATGTGCTGAATAGGACAGCTTCAGTACACAAGCAGTAAAGACTGATGGTGGAAAGCAGAAGGAGCTGGAAGCTTTGGGACCCCTCTACATCACTGAGAAGGTCGGCAAAGATGCACAAGATCCTAACAGCACTGCTGACCACCCTGACCTAACCAACCTTACATGGAACTCACATTTAACACCTAAGTACAACGTGCTCTTTACTCCGACGAATACGCTAGACCCAAAGATAAGTCTCAGTAAACTTCCAAACACAAAGACTTACAGAACACGTTCTCTGACCACAATAGCTTATGACAGTAAGCAAGCTAGAAGAGCCCCAAACATCTGCAAATCAAACAACACTCTTGTAAATAAACCACTGGGAAAGAAGAACTCACAAGGAGAATTAGAACACATTTTATTTTATTTATTTATTTTTAAATTTTTAAAATTTATTTATTTATTTGACAGACAGAGATCACAAGTAGGCAGAGAGGCAGGCAGAGAGAGAGGAGGAGGCAGGCTCCCTGCTGAGCAGAGAGCCCGATGTGGGGCTCGATCCCAGGATCCTGGGATCACGACCTGAGCCAAAGGCAGAGGCTTAACCCACTGAGCCACCCAGGTGCCCCTAGAAAACATTTTAAACCAAGCAATAAGAAAACACAACATATCAAGATGCACAGAATGCAGGAAAACAGGGCTTAGACGTGTATTTGTAACTTTAAATGCTTATGTTAGGAAGAAATGGTTAAAAATAAATTATCTGTTTTCACCTTAAGGTAGACTAAGAAGAGTAAATTAAACCAAAGTAGAAGAAAAGCAACACTAAAGAGGAGAAATCGATGGCCCAGAAAACAGACGAATAAGGACACCTGGTGGCTCAGCCGGTTGAGAGACCAACCCCTGCTTTTCGCTTAGGTCGTGATCTCAGGGTCATGAGAGCAAGCCTTGCGTTGGACTCTGCACTTAGTAGGAAGACCGCTTTGGATTCTCTCTCCCCCTCTTCCACCCCACCCCCACCCCTCACTTTCTCTCTAAAAATAAATAAATAAATCTTAAAAAGAAGAAGAAGAAAATAGACAAATAATAAAGAAAATGAACAAACCTGAAGCTGGTTCTTTGAAAAGATTAATAAAACTGATAAACCTCTACCAAAACCAACGAAGGAAAAAAAATTATATAAAACACTACCACCATCAAATGATATCAGGAATGACAGGGACCATCACTAGAGTTAGATATTAAAAAGATAAGAGAGGGGGGCGCCAGAGTGGCTCAGTTCGTTAAGCATCTGCCTTCAGTTTTGGTCATGATCCCAGAGTTCTGAGATCAAGCTGTGCATTGGGCTCCCTGCTCAGCAGGGAATCTGCTTCTCCCTCTCCCTCTCTCTCAAGTAAATAGATAAAAACCTTTTTTTAAAAAAATATTTTATTTATTTATTTGACAGACAGAGATTACAAGTAGGCAGAGAAGCAGACAGAGAGGGAGGAGGAAGCAGGCTCCCTGCTGAGCAGAGCGCCCGATGTGGGGCACAATCCCAGGACCCTGGGATCATGACCTGAGCTGAAGGCAGAGGCTTTAACCCACTGAGCCACCCAGGCACCCCAAACCTTTTTTTAAAAAAGGACAAAAGGGAGTATTAGGAACTGTATGCCAATACATTTGACAATTTAAAAAGACAAACCCCTTGAAAGACATAATTACCAAATCCGACACAAAACTGAAAATCAAAGTAGCCCTATGTTTACCAAAGAAATGGCATTTGTTATCAAAAGCCTTCTCACCTGATGGAAATGTTCCAAAATGGGATTACGGTGATAGCTGCACACCTGTATAGCTTTCCTTACAGCGGTGGACTTTCAGGGTATGTAAATTATATCTCAATGAAGCTTTGAAAACCTTATAAAAATCCAGAATCATTTGGTATGGTTCTACTTGACTCTTCAACATTCCATGGCCCTGATACACCGCAGAGCCATGGCCCACTATGCTGCGTGGTGTGGGTGAACCTTCCCCACAAAGGAAACTTCTAGGCCCAGGTGATTTCACAGGGGAATTACTTCGAACATTTAAGAAATACTCACACACGTTTCACAAAAGAAGGTTTGTGAGTGGCTGATAAGCACACGAGTGAGTACCCATCATCACCAGTCACCAGGGCAGTGGAAACTAAACTAAATAAGGTACCACTCGCCAGGGTGGCTAACATCTAAGACTAACACCGCCAAATGCTGGGGACGTGCAGATCGGTTGTGACTCTTTCATTGTTGGTGGGGATGGAAACAGGAAAAGTGCTTTGGAAAAGGGCTCCGCCATTTCTTCCACAAAACACCTACTCTTGGCTCTGGCGGTTCTATTCTAGGGAGCTGCGTGAGAAAAATGAAAACCTAGATCCCAACGAGGCTTGAGCATGAGTTTTAACAGCAGCTTTATTCACAACAGCCTCCAACCCAAATGAGTAAAAGTCCATTGCCAGGAGAATGGATAAACAGCTGGTGTGTTACTAGATAGTAAACAGGTATAAACTACGGGCGCAACAGGGCAGGGGAATCTCCAAGACCTCCCGCTGCGCCAGGAGAGCGGGTCACCGGAGCATGGTGGGTGATTTTGCTTTTGGTGGTTCCATTTAGTAAAATTTCTAAGAGAGGATGAAGGGAAAAACCCAGAGCAGTGACTGCCTGGGGTGGGGGTGGAGAACTGCCATGAAGGAGTCTTAGAGGTGACAGAAATGTTCTACCTCTTAATTACATGAAAGCAGCCGTTTGCCAAAATTATTAAAAAATGTGCATTTTAACATATGCAAATTCCGCCTTAAAAAAAAGAATGGTGCACGGACAAGCAAGTGGGAAAGGAACCCTTTGGAGACGCACAGGAAATGAACATGATAGGTGTGTTGATTCCGGTGGCTGGATACCTGGGGTCCATTATACTGCTCTGTGTACTTTGTATACGTTTGAAATTTTCCATAATTATGTTCTTTTTAAGTAAAAGAGCTTTTAAAGTGACTCATTAATTTCTTATCTTTGTTTTTACTTATAACCTTCCAAAGCAGAATTTATTTCTGTAAAAGTGATTTGAGGACCATGCAGTGATGGGACGTGAGAAAAACCGTGTGCCAAGTCAAGACCAGACCAGACCAGACCGTCTGCAGCACTCAAGAGCACCACGAAGAGTGCTGGTCCTTCCCTGGGTCCCACGCTGGGCTCCACTGCTTGCCGGCTCGGTGACCCCAGGCAGGCGAGGAAACTCAGCTCTCCGACCAGGCTTCCCTAAGGCAATGACACCATCCATCTTTCCTCTCGGGCTTCAGTGAGGACTCAGGGCTCTACGCACATAACTGGCACTGGGCCCGGCGCCAGACACGTGGCCAACAACCATTGTCCTCTTTGTCATGATTCCTGCTATTGCCCGCTTCACTTTTCTAAAGTCTTGAAACCCCACTCACCTGCACTGCCCCACGGCAG